AAGTCTGGAGAGAGAGTCGGTGGTGGCACCCCGTCCTCAGACTCCTGGGTCTGCTCCCGCTGGTTCTACCAATTCTGCTGATTGAAGGCCGGCCACCTGCTGCATGCCCAGCACCAGTTGCCTGAGCCTCAGTTTCCCTATCTGGAATAAGCCACCGCACCCTTCAAGCCTGCGGGGGTGACTAGAGGCGATGCTCATAACACACCAGGTGCAGTCGCTAACACCGGAACGGGGCTCTCTGGCCGCCAAGTCCAATGGGGGGCAGGCTGCTGGGAGACCAGGTGAGTGGCCAGCCCTGGAGGGGTGCAAATACAGATGATGCCATGGACACTGGGACCCCAGAAGGTCAGTGGTTGACACAGGCATCCTCAGCCTTGGGAATTGCGAGCCCAACCCACTGTGACAGTTGGGGAAACTGAGGCCAGGAGAGGAGACTGGCCTCACTGGGGTCACAGAGCAGGTCAGTGTTTAGGGCAGCCTTCCTGCCCACTGGCCCCCACCACCCTTTGTGAGCAGGCAAGGTCAGGGGAGCCTGCTGCGTCCTTCCCCAACTTCCCAGACCAAAAAAAAATCTTTCTCAATAACTCATCATTTATAGATAATGTTAGAATAAAATGCCCTTTCTGGTTGGCTGCCTTTCTGATGGCCTTTGTCCAACTCCCCACTCCCCCGCACCCAACTGTGTTGGCTACTTGGCTTGTGTTCAAATCCTGGCTCCCTCCCTTACTACCTGTGTGACCTATGGCAAGTGTGACCTTAATCTCATGGCATCAGTCCTAAGGAATGGGTTTTGTTGCAAACATGGGGCACTGGAGCTTTCTGGGGACAAAACTGCTTTTTTGGAAACAATAAAAAGGCTTGATGGGGGTTCTTTGTTGAGTCTCTTTTCACTCTTAATACTTGGCAATTTTCTGAATCCTTTAGCTTAAAACCCACCTAAGGGCCTGCCAAACACAAGAGGGGAGGAGGGGTACAAAGGCCAAGACCTTGACCTTACCACAGGGAGCAGAGGATCTGGGTGAGGAGAAGCCCCAGTCACAGCCACCAAGCCCTATCCAGATTCCCAGCCTCTGGGTAGAGCAGGGCACAGAGGATGACATGGGCTTGGGGCCCAGAGCAAGGCTGCCTGCAGGGGCGGACCATCTGCCCCAGCCTGGTCAGAACCCCTGTGATTTGCTTTGCAGGCTCCTCCTTGGCACTGAATCAGTTTATAATTATTTATTTGGGATAGTTATCTATCATCAGTCTCCCTACCCAGATCATTAGTTCCATGAAAGCAGGGACAGCTTTTTCACGGTTATTTTCTCCCAATCTTAGTGGTAGGTGTGCAAATATTTGTTAAATGAATGTGAGCACTTACTACATGACCCACCCAGTGCTGAGCAGGGAGTGACAGGCATTAACCAGATACCACACCTGGCAATTAAGTACTTGCTCAGGTAGGTGCCCCAAAAGGATGCGATGAGCTGGGAGGGCCGCTGTCGATGGGAGTGCGCCGGCCAGGTTCCCGTTAACCTCCAAGGAAGAGAGGCTGCAGAGGCTGAGGAGAGTGAGCGCGGGGTGGCGGCGTGACAGGAGGGGGGCCTTCCCAGGGATCCAGGGGGAAGGAACGGAAGAATGTCCAAGAGCGCCAAGGCTGGCCTGCTCCTTCCTCCTTCCTCTTCGGGGCCTCCGGGAGACAGGGTCCGCAAAATGCTGTCCTAAGCGGCTGGACGGAAGCAGGCCCTGAGGCGACCAGGGAGGACAGGGTGGTGCCAGCCCCCAGTGCTCTCCGGCGGCGGCGAGCGCCGGGCCGCCCACTGCGATCCAGCCGCCGCGCAGACACCGCGCGCCCGCCACCGGCGGGGATGCTGGCCGGAGGCTCTATGCAAATCAGGGATCGCAGTTTCCACCAATCAGAGGGCAGCTCCGGCGCTGTAACTGCTAATGGGAGTGAGCGCGCCCGCGCCCTCCGCCTCCCAGCTGGTCCCGGGTAGGGCGGGGGCCTAGCCGGGGGTCCCCCTGCCCGACCCTTGGGGTGGCCCGCCTCCGCGCCTAGTCTCTAAATTCCTCTTTGGAGCGCCCTGCCTTCCGGCTGAGGAGGCGGGGTTGGCCCGTGGCGTTACGTGCTGTACTGAGAAGGGGGGCGCTTTCACTGTGGCCTCCGGTTTGTTTGGGCTGATTTGCATGGGGTTTTGGTTGGTTGACTAAGAGGTTTTTAAAAATACAGATAACTTACCAGAAGGTTGACTGTTTTATGGCTATTTTGTCATGTTTACTTCAAGTTTCATAAGCGACAAAAATGAAATTCCCTTTCTTTTTCCTTGTTATCTCCCGGCTGTTTGTCAGGGTTGTCAGTCAGTTTGTAGGGTTCATTTTAACATGAAGGAATAGAATGTCCTCAGAGGCGTGTATCCTTTTCATTCAGGTTTTGATACTTTCATATAAATGTGATGTTAAAGCACATTCTTCTGAGAACATATTTTATGATTTTCAGGTTTACATAATTGGTATCAACTTGGACATTTCATTCTGCAATTTTCTATTTTTATTTTTTTCTATCTGGGTCATCAGCTTTCCTAGGTATTACCAAATTGCTCTCCAAATTTTCACTTATTTCAGGGACATATGAATCCCCATTTTCCCACATTTTGCCAATACTTACACCTGCTTACTAGAGCAATGGAGCATCTTCTCTGGTCCTTTGTTTTTAAAGAATAAATCTCAGGGACAAACAAGGCAGCCTTCACCTGCCTGTCCGGATAAGGCCAAGTCAGGTCAGGGCCACAACTCTTGTCTGGGGCAGGTGGGACAGCACTAGGATGTGGCTGGCTGGCCCCTTGGCTGGGATCCCAGGTGGCAGCCCCTCTTCACCCCCACCCTACCAGTGCAGTGAGTAGGCTTGGCACCAGGCCTTAAAGGGATTAATTCCTGCTCTGCAGCTTTAGGGGAGGCAGAGGGTCCCCAGGACTCCAGGTCCTAATAGACAGGTGACTGCCCTCCACTCCTGTTTGCAGTCCTTTTGGATCCATCTCCTGGTGCAAAGCTTGTGTGCCTAAAGGCCAACCTTGCTTTGTACGGAAGGGAAAAAGACTCAAGCAAGGGAGGGGCTTGACCAAGAGTACACAGCTTGGCATAGCTAAACTGAGGACAAATCCAAGTGCTCCTGGCCTGGGAGACATAGCTAAGCTTGGAGAGTTTGCATAAGATCCTGCTTGCTGCCAGGAAAGCCCGGAGGGTGGGTTGGTGGTGGTGAGAACCAGAAAGAGTAATGGGTGACATGCTCCCAGGTCCCCACCTGGACCTGACACCGTCCCTCCCCCTTCTCAACCAGAGTGAGGAGCAAGTGATGGGAAGGGTGGAACCTCATTCCTTGGGGAAAGGAGCTTTGGTTCAAGCCGTATGGGGGGTCCCCACTACATGCAAAACTGACCGAGTCCTTTGCCCTCCCTGAAACTTGGTTTGCCCCTCTCTGAATCAGGAGAGTGGGTGCTCACAGCAACTAATGTGCCCTCTGGCCACATCACCCAAGGTCTGATGGCTGAGACAGAGAGATGTCAGTACCTCTTGTGCTGAGTGCTCAGGCCCCACAACGGTTGTGTGTTCAGTGCTCAGCCCTGCCCTGGCACAGACAGGTTCAGCTAGATTGGTCCACGGGAGTCAATTGGCTGCTGACCCCGTCCCATGAGTCACTCAAGCTGCAAGCCTGGAAAAGGACCTTTCCAGGGGCCGCAAGGCTGTCCTGGGGCCAGAGAAAAGTCAGATGTAGGGGCCCAGAACGTAGGCCTGAGATCCTGAGACGGTTCACAGGGAGGCAGGTCCTAGCCCCTGTAGAGGAAGGAGGCAGCATGCGGGAGGAGAGCGCTACACTCAGGGGGACGTGAGGCATGGAGGCAGGAAAACCTGGAGACCCTGGCTTTCAGACGCTCCCTGGTTAGATGAATAAAATCTTTTTTGCCTCCATTTTATAGATGAGGTAATTAAGGCTTGGGGAGAACAATCTTGCCCCAGACCAAAAGACCATACTGGAGCCACGCCCAGAACCCTAATCTCAGCCTCCAGGGCCTGGTCCCCCTTGACCCCTCTCCTGATCAGAGGTAGAGAGGAGCCCAGGCCTGGGCCATTGCTATGCCTATTTTACAGACAAGCAAATGCACCTGATCCTTTGCCTCCTCACTGCACCAAGGTCACTTCCCCTAGGAAAACCCTCCTCCTGGGCCTCGCAGTATCATGTGCCTCCGACGTTCACCTGGAGTTGAGGTCCCTTGAAGCGAAGTCCAAGAACATTAAGTAAATGGTGATCCCCCCTCACCCCACACCTGGTGGACCCTTGTCAGGGACCTTAGCACCCTATCTCCACCACCTTTCCACGTCAGCTACACGGAAAACGGATCTTGAAGCTCCTTTAGAATACGCTCCCCCCTCCGATACGCCCCCCCGCCCCCGCAGTTTTCCCTCTTCCGGACGATTCCAGGCTCCAGGCCTACCTCGCTAACACGTCCGGGGTGCCGAGGACCCCTGGGGCCCACCATCCAACCCAAGCCGCGCGCCGACCGCGCCCATCCCTATTCCACTCAGAAGAAAACGAGAATGGTTCCAAGGTTTAAACAATTTATTGCGCTCCAAAAAAGGCAGACGAGATTATGAGAAGCACCGCGCAGCACCGCACCCAAAGCGATTGTTTGTCGCGCACCCAAAAGCGGAGAGAGTGAGGAACTGGAGACAGTGACGTCGTGGCTGCGGCCGCCGCCGAGACAGGCAGGCGCGGCCTCGGTCATTGGTGCCTAGGGGCTGGTAGCCATGGCAACACCGGTTGCCAAGGGCAAGAACCAATGGGGGGCCGCTAAGACCATTTCAAAAATCTAAAGCAAACAACAAAAAAAAGGTACAACAGCGGGGGATGGGTGGGATGGAGAAGAGACGGAGCAAGCTCGGCGCCCCGGCTGGAATAAACGTACAAAACCTACACACTCTCGGAGTAGAAATCCTAAACACCGGAAAGACCCAGCAGGCTGGCGCGCTCACTTGCGGCCCTTGGGCACTTTGGGGACGCTGGGCTTGGCCGCCTTCTTCACCTTCTTGCCCCCAGCGGCTGCCACCTTCTTAGCCTTGCTGCCTTTGTCCTTCCGGGGGGCGGCGCCCTTCTTATGCGAGCGCTTCTGGGGCTTCTGGCCCTTGACTGGCTTCTTGTCCGCGCGCCGGGGGCCGGCTGCACCCGAGACCGCCTTCTTGGTCTTATGTGCAGCAGGCGCTGTGGCAGAGGCGGCCGCTGTGGCTCCGCGCCGCTCGCCGCTGCTCTCTAGCTTTTTGCGGTTGAGCTTGAAGGAGCCGTTGGCGCCGGTGCCCTTCACCTGCAGGAGCGTGTCGTTCTGCACCAGCGCCTTGATAGAGTATTTGAGGTAGGTGCGCCCGTTCTGCTGGTCGAACCACGCCACCTTCTTGGCTTCCGTGTAGATCTTGGCCAGCGACGAGCCGTTGCGCTCGCCTAGCCTGCGAATGGTCTCCACCACCAGCTGGCTGTACTTGCCCGGCTGGTTCTTCTTCTTGTTCTTTCTTTTTTTCGACGGAGACAGCGCCGCCGAGGCGCCAGCCTTAGCCGCCTTCTTGGCCGCCCCCTCGGCGGTCGTCAGTGGCAATGCTTCCTCGAGCTCCACAGACATGGTGGCCAGCGGGTTGGTGGCGGGCGGGGCGCGGAAGCCCGGAGGCCGCGCCGGGAAGAGAAAGGCGAGGGGCCGAGGGGGCGCCGGGGGGCTTGGGGCGCGCGGCGGCTC